ATCCCTCTTGGAAGTCTGACAACAAATAAAACTCAGTGGTAAGCAGCAGCAGCAGCAGCTTTTCCCTGCACTGGCTGTGAGGGAGCAGAGAAGTTGCTCCTCTTCTGAGAAACTCAAATCACCACGAGAAGATCCAAATATGCAAATGCCTATTTACATGGTTTTTGAAATTCCCTTTGTTTTGTTTTGGTTGCCCCTTCCTTATCTCTTATCTAAATTTCTGTTTGATTGAAGCCCTCTATTGCAGTCATGGCAAGAGGTTTGTGCCCAGCAGACTGTTTTTATTGGATTGCAGGATTTAAAAGAAAATGGAACCAAACAAGAGGAGCCCTGGTGTGGTCCTGCCCCAGGAGCTCCTCAGTGATGAGCTGTGAGTGAGGGCTGAGTACAAAGTTCTGGAATTGTGTTTGTGGGGATGGTTTTGGTGGGTCTTGTTCCAACATAACGAATGTGCAGAAGGGACCACGGTGCTCCACTTCCACCCCAACAAAAGGCAGCGTTCTGCAGCAGCAGGATTAAAGGGGAAGGGCCCAGCTCTGCATTTGTTATAGCAAAGCCCTTCCCAGTGCCCTCCCTGCCCTGAAGAGCCACCTGTGCCCTCCCTGGTGCTGGGCTGTCAGAACAGCTCTGCTAATGAAGCACTCTGGCCTGGGGCTGCTCCTGCTGCCATCCCCATCCCTGGCAGGACAAAATCCAGGGAATCCTGGCTGTGGCACAGCCCCGGTGTCCCCGAGGCTGGGGACAGCCTGAGGGATGGCTCTGGCTGCCTCACGAGGTGCTGGGCTGGCTCCTTGCTCTCCTCCCTGTCCTTTGGTCGGGAGAGGATTGGGGAGTGGATGGGATCAGTTTGTGGATGGGATCTGTTTGTGGATGGGATCTGTTTGTGGATCTGTTTGTGGATGGGATCGGTTTGTGGATTGGTTTATGGATGGATCCAGGGAGCTCTGGATGGAATCTGTGCTGGATCCTGCACAAACAGGAGCTCTGGATGGAATCTGTGCTGGATCCCTGCACAAACAGGAGCTCTGGGTGGAATCTGTGCTGGATCCCTGCACAAACAGGAGCTCTGGATGGAATCTGTGCTGGATCCCTGCACAAACAGGAGCTCTGGGTGGAATCTGTGCTGGATCCCTGCAGGGACAGGAACTCTGGATGGAATCTGTGCTGGATCCTGCACAAACAGGAGCTCTGGATGGAATCTGTGCTGGATCCTGCAGGGACAGGAGCTCTGGGTCCCTTTCTGGGCTCAGGTTGCTCATCTGACAGGTGGCTGGGTTTCTCTCTCCTCCCAGCCTCAACCTGTCTTTCCTGTATCTGCAATGAGGGCCTGCATCTGCAATCAGGTTTTAAAACAGCTCAAAGGACCTTTGATGTGAGTTAGAAACTCGGAGGTTTGCTGAAACACATGTAAATAAATCACATCTAGGGAGTTTTCCCTTCTTTTATTGGTTGAATAGTGGAGGAATGTCCAGGATAAGGAATTTGTCCCTGAAACTGGTGATAGGATGTGGAGGAAAATCTTTCTTCCTTAAGTTTAAGAGCTGTGCTTGGAGCATTATCTCCACTTAGAAAGCACTTTCTGGCCCAGGTAACTCCTGGCAGTTGTTGACACATTTGACCTGAGAGAGAACGGTTTTGTTTCACTCCCAGGTGATGCATCCCAGAGGTGGGGAACTGAATGCTGAGGAATGATCACCATTTGCTCTGTTTGCAGCGCTCTGTGAGCAAATCAAGACTCATGCTCTCACTTTGGCTGGAGCCCTGCAAACACACACAGCAAAAAGCCTCAGAGAGAGATTCCTGCCCCAGACTGGGAAACCTGTTCCAGTTTGGGAGTGTGCAGAGCAAACCTGGCTCCCCTCTCTCCACATGTGCGTGGATTTGCCTGCTGCTCCCTGATCTGCTCTCCAGTGGGGAATCTGTTTACACTAATCCCAAAAGCTCTGCTATTAGAGGCTGGAGCTGAACAGCTCCAGGCTTTGCTGTGAGCTCAAGAGCCAGAGCTCTCCCTGCTCTGCAGGCAGGACCCCTCAGTGACCCCAGTGCTCGGGACAGGGACGGGATCAGTCTCAGCCTGCGCCTCTTGCACCTCCCAAACTTCCCTGAGATCTGCCAGAGCATCTTCCTCGTGTGGGAAAGGCTCCTGGAGGACGGAGGCCACCCCTGTCCTGCTCTCCTGTGACCTCTCCTGGGGCAAACACGGGGCCTTCCCTTGGAGGAGGCTGTGGCCGAGCTGCCCCTGCCCTCTGGAATGGAGGTGGAAGAGTAACAGCCCTGATGGCTGCAAAGGAAAGAAGCTTTGAGAAAAAAATCCCCACTCCTTTAAAAAAGCGCAAGGAAGTCAGGCTCAGGAAGCCAAGTTCCAAAGGAGATGGAGTCAAGGGAAGGCTGGAGAAGAACCCAAAGCTCTCAAGAGCCCAGTGCAGTTGGATGTGCAAGAATGAAGGTTTCTGGGAGCCAAGAGTGAGCCCCTCTCAGCACACAGCCCCTCTGCCCTCCTCCATCCAGGATCCTCTGCCTGCCACAGAAATGTCTGCGTCTCCCACAGCCTCTTCCAAGCATTCTCCTTGGATCATTAGGTGATAATAGAAAGTGATTTTTCCCCTGTCATCTCGAGCAATCAGGAGCATTAAGAATAAGAGCCTAAGCCTGAAAGCCTCAATGAGAGGGTTTGATGGGTCTGTGGATCTGCCTCCTTCATTAGAGCCAGAAGCAAAGACGATCCCAGAGCTGGAGCTCCTAGAGAATAAAATGGCACAAAACAAGGACTGTGTCAGGTGGCTCAGCAATGACCCTGCCAGCTCTGCCAGGGGCTCAGGTCACACAGCAAAGCCACTTCTCACTGCCTGCAAGGCAAGGTCAATCTGCCCCAGCCCACCCTGCATGAAGGAGAGTCAGGGGACACGGCCTGGGACAGAGCTGGGAACTTGGTGTGGTTCTGGGAGCTCTGAGGCAGAGCTCACACAGAGCTCCCCCTGTTCTGCCACTGCCAGAGACTTGTGGGCCACATTTCCTGTCCCATGGTTAGGGGGGATAATTAATTTTTGTTCCCATCCTGGGTAGGATTCTTCCTGCCCAGTGGATCCCACTTTGGCATCCACAAGCAGGGAACTCCCTCTCGTTGAGGTGACACATCCCTGCAGCAACCACACAGCTTCATTTGGGGCCACCTTGTCCTCTCAGGGCAGTTCCACATGGACCCTGTGCCGTGTCTGCCACGGCTTGTGACAGAAACCAAATTCACCCCGTGTGTCCATCCCTCCCTCTATGGATCCATCCATCCCTCCATGGATCCATCCATCCCTCCATGGATCCATCCATCTCTCCATGGATCCATCCATCCCTCCATCCATCCATCATCCCTCCATCCATCCATCATCCCTCCATGGATCCATCCATCCCTCGATCTCTCCATCCATCCCTCCATGGATCTATCCATCCATCCATGGATCCATCCATCCATCCAAGGATCCCTCCATCCATCCATCATCCCTCCATGGATCCATCCCTCCATCCCTCCATGGATCCATCCCTCCATCCCTCCATCATCCATCCCTCCATGGATCCATCCATGGATCCATCCATCCATCCCTCCATGGATCCATCATCCATCCCTCCATGGATCCATCATCCATCCCTCCATGGATCCATCATCCATCCCTCCATGGATCCATCCATCCCTCCATGGATCCATCCATCCATCCATCCACGGATCTATCCACATCCCTCCCTCCCTGCCTCCATCCCGGAGCAGCTCCCATCCTCCGGGCATTGCCAGCCCCGTGCCCGGGGGTGCCGAGGGGTGGCACGGCGGGCTCGGGCCGTGTCCCCGCGGGGCCGGGTCCCCCCCGGTGGCCCCGGGCTGGCGGCAGCCGGCGCTGGCCCCGCCGTCCGTCGCTCACCCCCTCGCCGGCGCGGCGCTTCCCAGCGCCTCCGCTGTTTAAATGGGCCAAGTTAGAGAAGCGGCGGCGGCGGCGGCGGCGGAGGGAAATCTTGTTTGGTCGGAGTCTCCGAACTGTGCGGTGACTTCTGAGCACCGATCAATGCGTGTCTGTCCCGGCTCGGGGGCCCGGCCCGGCCCGGGGGCTGCGGGGAGCGCAGGGCTGGCGGGGATGGCTCTGTAGATGTCCGTGCGGCTGTGCGTGTGTAGCTGTGCTCGTATTTATAGCGATATATTTCTGTGCGTGCGTACACAGAGGGATCAGGAGCGTAACACCGCGTTTCTGAGCGTTTCCTGCGGGAGGAGCGGGGATTCAAACGCGGCTGGCGGGGATCAGAGCGGCTCCGCTGGGAGCGGGGCGAGGCTGCAGGTGAAGGTGGGCGGCCCCGGGGAAAGTTCGCCGCCGCCCGGGTGTCTGGAGCCCCGCGGGCAGAGCCGGCACCGGCCGGGGCTCCGTCCTCCCGCCGGGCGCCGGCGGGGCGGGGAGGGGTCGCGGAGCGGCGGCGGGGGCGCAGCGTTTAATTTTAATTATTGCATATAAATAAATAAACCAGGTGTCAGTTTAAAGGAAGCAGGGGGGCAGGGTGAAAGGAGGGGGCTGGCTGGCTGGCTGGCTGGCTGGGCGGCGGGGAACCCTCCAGCCTGGCGAGAAGGTGGGTTGATCTAGGGGAATCAATAAGCTTTTTTTTTTTTTCTTTTTTTTTTTTTTTCCTCCTCCTTAAACCAAAATAATGTCTATGGCAGCAGAGACCTCTCCGAGATGTCAGGTATTAGTCCGGAGGGGCAGATCTGCGAGGCACACGGCAGCTCCCGGGTCTACGGTACATTAGGCTCTCCGTGGGAGAGGGATCCCAGGCATCTCTGCTGGGGAGCCAGCCCAGGAGATTTGTTGGGCTGCTCCGGGGGATACCAGCCACCTCCGGCACCCGAGCGCCAAAGGTGCTCGTGCTGCTGCTGCTGCTGCTGCTGGCGCATTTCAGCCAAACTCCAGCCGGAGCGAGGGCAAGTTGAACCGGAGACATTGGAGCCGCTGTGCTTCGGAGACGCCGGGGCGCACGGGGAGCGCGGCGGCACCATGCCTGCTATCAAGAAGGAGCGACTTGACAGGGAGGAGATGGCCCTGGCAGCTTTTAACCAGCCCATGGAAACCTTACCTGACTACCTCGCGCCTCTGGCCGCCGCTGCCATGCCCGTGGTCGCCCCGCACCCGCCGGCTTACGAGCAGATCTTTGCCCACCGCGCGTACCTGGGCTTCCACGAGCCCCACCACCCGCACCACCCCCACCACCTCCCCGAGGACCTGATGCTGGAGAGGTTTTCCTCCATCCCGGATTTCCAGCCCTTCTTTGACAACGGAGAGCCCTGCATCGAGGTGGAGTGCGGGGAGAACAAGGCGCTGCTCTACATCAATAAGTTGTGCCAAGGCAGCAAAGGACCCTCCATCCGCTACCGGGGAGAGTGGCTCACCCCCAACGAGTTCCAGTTCGTCAGCGGCAGGGAGACGGCCAAGGACTGGAAGCGCAGCATCAGGCACAAAGGTAGAGGCAGCGCCGGGGTCCCCGCTCCTCCTCGCGTCCTCCCCCTCGCCCCCATGCTCGGGCAGCGCTCTCGGCGAGAACCGAGCCCCCTCCCCGCTCCCCCGGCCCCTCTCTGCCGGACCCCCGCGCCCCGGTACCACCGAACTTTTCCGAGCCGTTTGGGAGCGGTTCCCTTTGGGGTGGGGTCGGGTTTTTGGGAAGGCGGGGGGGATTTGGGGGGCTCCTCTCTGCCGGGGAGAAGTTTGGTGTGGCGCGGGCGGAGATTTGAACAGCGGGCGGGTGGCGGGGTGCGGGCCCCGGGGCTCGGGGTGCCCGCGGTGCTCTGTCGGTCGGTGCCCGGGGCGCTCGGTGCCAGGGATGGTCAGTGCCCGGGGGCTCGGGGTTGTTGGTAGGTTGGGGTTCGGGGTGCTCGGTGCGCTCGGTGCCCGGGGCTTGGGGCGCTCGGTGCCCGGGGGCTCGGGGCGCTCGGTCGCTCGGTAGGTTGGGGCTCGGGGTGCTGGGTCGGTGGCCCCCCTCCCGCCCGCCCTCCCGCCGCCCCTGCGAGCCGCCGGCGGTGTCGGTGGCGGCGGTGGCGCCGCGGGGAGCGGCAGCGCGGCCCGGGCCGGCACCGGCGGGGCGGCGGGCGGGGCTCGGGGGTGTTCCCCTCGCAGCTGGGTGGTGCGGGACCTCCGCGGCGCCGGCGGCTGCTGACGGGCGCCTGCCCTGCCTCCCTCCCCTCCCCGCCCGAGCCGGCGCCGCAGTCGCGGCTCCGCGGCGGAGCTGCTGCTGCTGCTGCTGCTGCGGGCGGCAGGTGGAGAGCGGGGCCGGGGGGAGCGGCGGGGGCGGGCGGGCACAGCCCGGGCGGCTCCTAATGAGGCGAGAGCTGGAGGTGGCAGCCCGGGGGGCTGAGGAGCGATTAGGAGGTGACTGACACCTCGGGAGGTTATTGATCGCCGCAGAGCGGGGGCAGCGCTCCGGGGCCGCGCTAATTGCCGCCGCCCGGCTCTTTGATGGCTGCGCTCCCGCTGCCTTCGGGAAGCCTCAGTCGCTCTGGGGTGAGTCAGGAGGAGCGGGCGGAGGAGCAGCGGGAGGTGCCCGGCGCCGTGCCCGCTGCGGGGGCTGCGGGAGCGCCTCCGCTTCCCCGGGGCTGCGGCAGCGCCGGCACCGAGCCCGGCGGGGCTGCGGGGGCTGTGCGGGGCTCCCTTCCCCGGGACCTGCGGGGATTCTACCGGGATTGTACCGGGCTGTGCCGGGCTGTGCGGTGATTGTACCGGGCTGTGCGGGGATTGTACCGGGCTGTGCGGGGACTGTACCGGGATTGTGCCGGGCTGTGCCGGGCTCCCTTCCCCGGGACCCGCTGGGATTGTACCGGGCCGTGCCGGGCTCCTGTGCCCGGTTCCTGCCGGGCCGTGCCGGGCTCCTGTCCCCGGTTCCTGCCGGGCCGTGCCGGGCTCCTGTCCCCGGTTCCTGCCGGGCCGTGCCGGGCTCCTGTCCCCGGTTCCTGCCGGGCTGTGCCGGTTCCCCTCCGCGGGGGCTGTGCCGGGCCCCTCTCGGTTCCTGCCGGGCTCCCCGTGCCGGGACCCTGGGGCACAAACTTGGCTGCGGGGCAGTCGGGGATGGTGCCCGAGGCAGGCAAGGGCAGGGCTGTGTTTATATGGAAGCGGACGCGTGCCTCCCCGCCTCCCCCTTCCCTAAATGCTTTCCTTTTATAAACGTGTTGATTTCTTTTTCTTCTTCTGCTTTTTCTCCTCCTCTGCATACAGGGAAAAGTTTGAAGACTCTTATGTCCAAAGGAATCTTACAGGTACATCCTCCAATCTGTGATTGCCCTGGGTGTCGAATTTCGTCTCCAGTGGTAAGATTATTGTTAAACTATGTGCTTTAGTTAAGACATCTTCCCTCTCCTCTGCCTCCTTCCCTTAAAAAAAAAAAGAAAAAAAGAAAATTTCCCTTTGCTTCTGTGCTGGTGGAACTGTGATCTGTGAGGGTCGTGGAGGCTGCCAGAGCCCTGCCTGCCCTGGGAGGGTTCCAGCAGTGTTAGAGAGGAGCTTGGAAGCAGAGCAGACGGCAAGAGAGAGCAGCGTTTGAGCTGAAGGAAGCAGCACTCGGTGGGATTGTTTGAGCAGCGTTTGAGCTGAAGGAAGCAGCACTCGGTGGGATTGTTTGGTTTTCAGGGGGAGCTGTGTGTGTGTGCAGAGGCAAATCATTGAGGAGCCTCTTTGGTGTTCCCACCCCTTGGTTTCTGTGCATCGTGCACAGGTGTGAAAGTGGCTAAATAAAGCAAAAGGGAAATGTAATTGTGCCCACGTGTTAGAGAGAGAGCAGGCATTGTACAAACCGTGGGTCAGGTGAACTGCATGAGGAACAACCCAAATGCTGACAGCTTGAGCATCGTTCATGGCATAGCTCAGTTATGGCTCTTACAGATCTTTCCTTCCCAACTTTTGGGTTCCTTGTGTATTCTTGATTTTATCCTGAGACTTCCGAAATCTCTCATCAGCATTTTTGTTGGAAAAATGTTGATGGTGTAAATAAAAGGTGACTGGAATCGTAGTAAAGTAAGGCCTTAAAACAGCTCATGGTGTGTAAAAATAACCATAAAGTACAGTAACATCTAACTGGGAGGGCAGAGCTGTTGGTGTGGGGAACTGAAGCAGCTCTTGGTCTGAAAGAACAATAATGACTTAAAGCATTGTCAGTAGCACTGTGGAAACAAATACAGGTGGAAATTTACGTGATTTTATCCACTGGAAACGAACCGTTTTTGGTTTTGTTGCTTGCTTGGGCTGGAGTGGGCAGTCTGTGCTCAGATGCAGTTTCTGTGATTGGAAAGGACAGAGCTGGGAGTTCCAGTCCTCCCTGCCTGGTGCCTCCGTGTGTTACAAACACCCACGGAAGGGGCTCGGAGCCGGAACCAACAGTTCAGAAATGAATGGGGAGATTTGTCCTGCCTGGCTGGTGTGGCAGCAGCCCCTCCACAGCCCTGCCTGGAGTTTGACCCCAGCTGTGCTGGAACCTGGCTCTCCCCAGCTCCTGGAGTGGGTGGCACAACGTGGGAAGTGGCGTGAGCAGCTCCCTCCACCTGGGAGCTCTGTCTGTCCTGCCACTTGTGGGGCTCAGAGCCAGAAATCTGCTGGTGCCAGGGATGTGCTGCTGCTGTGGGGATGCTGAGCAGTGCCTGGCCAGGGGATGCTGTGGAGATGCTGAGCAGTGTCTGGCCAGGTGATGCTGTGGGGATGCTGAGCAGTCCTGGCCAGGTGATGCTGTGCTATTGTGGGGATGCTGGGCAGTGCCTGGCCAGGGGATGCTGTGGGGATGCTGAGCAGTCCTGGCCAGGTGATTCTGTGCTATTGTGGGGATGCTGAGCAGTCCTGGCCAGGTGATGCTCTGGGGATGCTGAGCAGTGCCTGGCCAGGGGATGCTGTGGGGATGCTGGGCAGTCCTGGCCAGGGGATGCTGTGGGGATGCTGAGCAGTGCCTGGCCAGGGGATGCTCTGGGGATGCTGGGCAGTGCCTGGCCAGGTGATGCTGTGCTGCTGGGCGTTTTCTGGCCTAGCAGTAGCCAAAAAGGTCGTGATGCACTTTCCTAGCAGCAGCATTTTCAGGATTTTCGGGTGCATTTCCAGATGGAAAGACAGCTCTGCATGAAGCCAGTGTGTGGCACAGCGTTTGAGAGCTGGGTTGGGAAATTACAGATAGAGGGGAAAATGAGGTCGGTGCAGCTTTGGGCAAGGAGAAATAAATCTTCCTGGACTTGCCTGCCACTGCTTCCCCAGCTGGGAAAGGGGCTTTGGATGTCAGAATTTGCACAGCAAGGCCAGAGCCCAGTGAGGAGTTCTGTCAGAGCTGTTTCTCATTGCTCCCTGCACTTTCTGTGCTGTACTTAGCTCGTGTCCCTGCCCAAAGGACAGTTCCACATTTTGATCCTGAATTCTTTTGGTAGCTGCATCCACTGCACATCCAGAGCAGTCACACAAGGAGAAGGATTAGGAATTGGGCACGGTTTATGTTTCCCCTTTTAGTGATTGCCCATTCGAGCGCCGCTGAGATCCAGGGGCTGATTCTGCTCAAAAGTGGAAATGCTTTGTATTTTATAGTGCAGATGACAGAGACTGGCAGTGCCTGGTCCTGGTGTGATCCGGTGAGGGTGTGGGGATGGGGAGCTCGTCCTGTCTGCAGCTGCTTCCATGGCTCTGAAATCAGTGCTTGGACAGCGGGATTGGGCCAGCACAACTCGGGCAGTGCCCGTGGCAGGGGGCAAGGCAGGGGCTGCGCCTCTGCCTCATCCATCAGGCAGCAAAGGCAGCAAATGCAGCGCTGTGCTCCGGGGCTGAGCCCGGCTGTCCCTGCGGGAGCGGTGACCGTGTCCCCTGGGTGTGCGTGTGTCCCCTGGGTGTGTGTCCCCTGCCAGTCCTGAGCCTGTCCCCTGTGTGTGTGTGTCCTCTGTGTGTGTCCCCCCCGTGTGTGTCCCCTGGCAGCGCTGGTGGCTCCGAGCCCCTGCCCGTGTCCGGCCGCGCTCGGGGGGAGAGAGGAGCGCTCGGTCTGGGGAGGAAATTGCAGCGAGCCGCAGCCCCGGGCTGGCAGCGCCCCCGGGCCGGGCTCCGAGCCCCGGCCCCCCCGGTTCCCCCCTGCTCCCGGCGGTGCCCCCCGGCCCCGCTGGCGCCGCGTTCCCCGCCCGTGACCCGGCGGTGCCGGCGCCCGCCCCCCGCCGCCCGCGCCGCTCGCTGCTGCAGCTGCAGACGGGGCCGGCGCCGGGGCCGCTCCGCCACCGACCGCCGGTTTCCTGCGCTGCCAGCCTCGCCTCGGGGGGAGCGGCCCCGCCGGCGCCTCCTCCCCCGGGCCGCCCCCGCGCTGCCGCCCGGCAGCCAGCCAGGCATGCATCCATCCATGCATCCGTCCGTCCATCATCCATCCTTGCATCCATCCATCCTTGCATCCAGCCAGCCAGGCATCCATCCATGCATCCGTCCGTCTGTCCATCTGTCCATCATCCATTCATCCATCCATCATCCATCCATCCTTGCATCCAGCCAGCCAGGCATGCATCCATGCATCCGTCTGTCTGTCCATCATCCATTCATCCATCCATCATCCATCCATCCTTGCATCCAGCCAGCCATGCATCCGTCCATCCATCATCCATTCATCCATCCTTGCATCCTTGCATCCATCCTTCCATCCTTGAATCCATCCATCCGTCCATCCATCCATCCATCTGTCTGTCCATCATCCATCCTTGCATCCATCCATCCTTGTATCCATCCATCCATCCATCCATCCATCCATCCATCCATCCATCCATCCTTCTTTGCATCCCTTCATCCTTCTCTCCATCCATCCTTCTGTCCCTCCATCTCTCCATCCATCCCTCCATTCATCCCTGCCTCCATCCCTCTGTCCGTCTGTCCATCCCTCCCTCCCCTGCCATGCAGGCAGGTCTGAGTGCCCATCCCAGGGCCGAGGTGCAGGCACAGCCGTGGGGAAGCAGGGGCTGCCCCTGGGCTTTGTGCTCTCTCAGAGGTTTCTGGATGGGAGAATGGCACAGGTCCCTTCAGTTCTGGGGAGGCACGGGCTGCCAAACCTTCCCAGAGTGAGCTGCCAGTGTGAGCAGGGCTCTCCCTGCCAGTTTTGGGCAGGCACAGTTTGTGTTGTGTGGAGCCCTGGCTGGGTTCCAGTGTGTTCTGGTGAACCCCATTCCCTGCAGGGCTCCCTCTGCTCCAAACCCACCCCTGCATTCTCTGCATCTCTGCCCCAGCCCTCAGCCAGGGCTGGAAGGGGCAGTGGGCTCCCCGAGCCACAGGGAGGGGAGAGCAGCTCTGAAATCCTTACTGAGAACCAGAATGCCTGAGATCTGGGAGCTCCAGCATCTCATGTCCAGGATAACAGTGGAGGGACAAACCTAAGCACTGCATTGTTTCCCCTATAGACAGACACAGTGTGGCCCTTGCTGTGTGTTCCATTCTCTGAAGGGGAGTTAGGGCTGGAGCCTGGCTGCTCCTCCTCCTCTTTTTCTGTTTCTTGTGGATATTTGGTTTCTGGGACAGGGCTTCTGTTTGAAATGTGGCCCTTATGGGGTTCAGGTAGAGAAGCCCCATTTCCCCAGAGCTGTTGTGGCATGGCCACATCCAAACAAACAAACAAGCAGAGCAATAAAGGATGTTTGGGGTTTGCCCCCTGTCCATCCCATGCAGAGGCTCGGGGTGGCTGTGCAGGGCTGGGGCACTGCAGTGGGGATTCATTTGCTGGGCTGTGTTTTGCTCTTGGTTTGATTTATGTGTGATTCCTTTCTCTGCTGCTTTTTGCTTTCCTCATCGTGGTTGTTGTTTTCCTTTGCTGCCCTGAGGTTCAGGCCTCAGTCCAAGACTTTGTCAGGGATGGAGGGAGGAACTCTCTGCTGCTAACTTCAAAAATGCCAGCGAGGAGCAACTCTGCTCTTTAGCCCTGAGGCTCCTCCTGGGCCCTGTTTTGGGTGGAAGGCAGCTCTGTGTGTCCCCAGAGAGTGGCTTTGTGTCACTGCTGGTGCTGGGCTCCTTTCTGTCCTTCCCTGCTGCTCCACAGGAGCAGGGCAGGGCAAGGAAGGGACATCCTGGGGCTCCTGAGTGTGCTGGGATCCAAATTCAGAGGCTTTCACCAGAAGGGGAATCTCCCACACCAGGCACAAGTCTTCCAGGAGAACTTTCCTATGGTAAGGGAACTTTGCCTGCTGGAGAATTTCCTTGGCAGGATTAATTCTGAAATTTCACTGTCGACTGAATAGATCAGATTTGGGTTCCTTTCTGAGCTGCTCTGGGCCTGGGGGTGGGAGCTGGAGAACGCTGGGGTTTGTGTGCAGGAGCTGTTTTCATAACTCTGCCT